AATATGTAGATTGCTTTGGGCAGTATTGACATTTTAACAATATTTGTTCTTCCTATCCAGGAGCATGGAATCTTTTTCCATTTTGTGTCTTCTTCAATTTATTTCATAAGCTTTCTATAGTTTTCAGTGTATAGATTTTTCACCTCTTTGGTTAGATTTATTGCTAGGTATTTTATGGTTTTTGGTGCAATTGTAAATGTGATCAATTCCTTGATTTCTCTTTCTGTTGCTTCATTATTGGTGTATAGGAATGCAACAGATTTCTGTGCATTGATTTTATATCCTGCAACTTTGCTGAATTCATGATAAGTTTTAGCAGTTTTTTGATGGAATCTTTTGGGTTTTCCATATAGAGTATCATGTCATCTGTAAAGAGTGGAAGTTTGACCTCCTCCTGGCCGATTTGGATGCCTTTCATTTCTTTGTGTTGTCTGATTGCAGGGGCTAAGACTCCCAATACTATGTTGAATAACAGTGGCGAGAGCGGACATCCCAGTCTTTTTCCTGACCTTAGGGGGAAAGCTCTCAGTTTTTCCCCATTGAGGATGAAATTAGTGTTGGGTGTTTCACATATGGCTTTTGTGATCTCGAGGTATGATCCTTCTATCCCTACTTTCTTGAGGGTTTTTATCAAGAAAGGATGCTGTATTTTGTCAGATGCTTTCTCTGCATCTACTGAGAGGATCGTGTGGTTCTTGTCTTTTCTTTTATTGATGTGATGAGTCACATTGATTGTTTTGCTGATATTGAACCAGCCCTGTATCCCAGGGATAAATCCCACTTGGTCGCGGTGAATAATTTTTTTAATGTATTGTTGGATCTGGTTGGCTAATACGTTGTTGAGGATTTTTGCATCCATGTTCATCAGGGAAATTGGTCTATAGTTCTTCTCTTTAGTGGGGCCTCTGTCTGGTTTTGGGATCAAGGTAATCTTCATAGAAAGAGTTTGGAAGTTTTCCTTCCATTTCTAAGAGGGTTTATTTTTAAGGAGGGACATGCGTGGTGAAAGGAAGAGGTGGGATATCCTGGAGAAGGGGCAGTTAGTGACGTGGGGTTCCTGAGGAGGCAGGAGGGGATGACACGGAGTTGGCCCTTGATTCTGTCAGAGTGGCCGGGGAGGAGAGCTGTGTTGTGGTGGAATGCTGGAAAGTTCTCCCTTTGCCGCTGTGTTCCCTGCAACGTGGGAGTGGTGCCCACAGCTGGTGGAGGGTGTGCAGGTGGGTGGGAGGGTCTTGGAGAAGGTTGGTAAAGAAGTGCAGAGTTAAAGAGTGAGAAGCCTGGGGGGACTGCCTTGGGAGGAAGTTGGTGATCAGGGTCTGACAGGAGAGTCCATGGGACACCGCGAGAGCAAGGTAGGCAGTGTTGCCGGGGGGCGAGGATGGCGTGGACGCTCAACACGGGCTCTGAGGTCCCCGTGGCGGCCATGCCAGAGGAGGAGTCCATGGACAATGCTTGACCCAGCCCATTGTGTTCACAGTGAGAGCCTGAAAGTGGTGCACAAGGTCTCCCAGATTCTCATCTCGTGCTGCAACCTGCTGTCCCCTCACCCTTCACCCCCTTCCCCCAAACAGCCGTGGGCTCTCCACATCAGATATGGTTTCAAGGTCAGGGATGTTTGTCAGTGCAAAGACAGGCTGTTGCTTCCCAGTTCCTGCCGAGTGGCCAGAGGCTGGGGCAGCCAGAGCTGGGCTGGGTGGGCCAACGCTTGGGCAAGACTGTCTGCAAAACAGTGTTCCCAGGCTCATGGCCCCCTGTCTGCACCATCTTGCTCAGAGTCCAGGCACCACGTCCCCTGGTGGCCACCGTGGGCACTGTGCATGCCCTGCTCAGACCCGCCAGTGCTCGGTGGGGCTTGGGCCACCCGTCCTGCCCCTGAGGTTACTGCTCCCAGTGACACTGGTGCAGCCAGAACACCACCAGGGGAAACCAAACCCTGTCCGGGCCTATTGGGAGGACTAGGCAACACACTGCGGCACTTAAAATGGATCATTTCTCTTTCTAGCTTAACTCAGGTGATCCGAAAGTTTGCCAAGCAGCTGGATGAGTGGCTAAAAGTGGCCCTCCATGACCTTCCAGAAAATTTGCGAAACATTAAGTTTGAATGTAAGTACTGACTTTGGGAGCTGACAACATTTTAGTGCCAAACGTTTTACATAGGTTGTTAACAAGATAATAACAACAACAGCTATCATTTACTGTTTACAAAGCACCAAGTATTAAGCCTAGCGCTTTTCCTGCATTAACTCACTCGATCCTCACAGGAGGTTTATTACAGGTGGCACCTTTCTCCTTTTGTGGAAAATAGAACAGGCTTAGAGAGGCGATAAGTAGCAAAGGCAGGATTTGCTCCCGGGTCTGTCTGTGGACACCAAAGTTTCTGCTCATCACTGCCATCTCCTCTCATTAATCCTCATGCCTCCTCTGTGATGTAGGGAACAGTATCCCTATCCTGCAGATGAGGCTCCGAGAGGCAAAGAAACCTCCCCAAAGCCACACGGCCATGCAGCTGGTAAGAAGGGTCCAGAAGTCAAACTCAGGTCTGTCCGACCCCAAAATTCGGAGATTTCCCAGAATCCCCTGCCCCCAAAATGGTGGTAAGAGGGGACCGAAAACCGCTTCAGGGCTTCACATATTCAATTCTCTGCCTAATGAGAAAGCCAAATTAATATTTCTCCTACGGGGATTAGGACTGTGATTTTTTTTTTTTTTTTTCTGCTAAGCATCACCAGCCCTTCTGGATCATTAGTTTTGCCTGAGAAAACTGGTCCTATTTCGCTTTCTCAATGTTTCTGTACTTGTGGGAAGACTCATGTGCTATTAAACAAAGATGATATGATTTTAAGCAAAACAAAGTTTTAAGATATGTTTCTTAAAGCACCATTTGAATACAGCTTGCCATTCTTGCCCGGAATAAGTGCCAGCAAGGAAAATGAAGGCGATCAAATTACCCTCTCTCTGCAGGCAAAGGGAGCCCTTTGAGACATGCTTTGAGGCCGCCTGCAGTGCCCATCACCTATTGATAAAGCCTGCTTTATTTCGCAGCCCTCAGTTCTTTTCTCTTCGTGAGCACTAAATTCCACATCACAAAGTTAAAGAAAAAGTAATTAAGGAGAAGGATTAACGATTGATCGGTCTGGAAAATTAGAAGTTCATC